TTACATCACCAAGAGGATGGTCATTTCAACTTCCTAGAAGTGATTGGTCAATCCATAACTGGTTTTCTCTCACCGAGCAACCAAGAACTATTGCTGAGTGATATCACAAGCATGATAATGAGGGACACAATGTGGGCTCTGGGTCCTAGAAACGGGTAAGCCTTTACTCGGCCAAAGCACTAAAATTCCTAATGTAGGCATAAAACCTCTCAAGGATGGGTTCAAAAACCTGTATTTGGGAGTACTCCTTGCTTAGGGAGGTAACACGAGCTTTGCGCTCGATAGTTAGGGGCACGGACCCGAGGGGTGTAAGACTCCACCCTTGGAGCAACGCCCTCAAAGTTCAACACGAGCCTGACGCTCGGTCGTTAGGGGCACGGTCCCGAGGGGTGTAAGACTCCACCCTTGGAGCAACGCCCTCAAAGTTTAACACGAGTCTGGCGTTCGATCGTTAGGGGTACGACCCTGAGGGGTGTAAGACTCCACCCTAGAAGCAATGCCCTCAAAAGTTTAAAAAGCCTTGCACTCGAATCATTAGAAGCACGGCCCCGAGGGGTGCATTTTCATGATGTTATGAGCTTAGAAATCAAGACTCAATTTGACAAGGTACGCTTTTATTTATTTCAATTAAATGTCAATTGAACATGATAAGAAAGGGCAAGAGTCAACGCCCAGTTGACCATCAAACTTGGGACTGTCGAGACCAAGGGACAGATATGTTCGGGCCTTCTGTTATGGGTATTCTAAAAGAGCCAAGATTATTCGGTCCCTCTTCAGAGGAGCCGGTGTATTCGGCCTTTCTCTACAAGGATATATTTATTTTGATCTTTCTCAAGATTCAAGGTTATTTGGTCCCTCTTCTGAGGACCAACTATTATTGTTCTCTTTAGCCTCGTTCATGCTCGACGTTTGCTACATTCGATTTAGTAACCCTCCTTGGGGTTCTAATTTTGTTATCTTCGTTGGAGATNTCCCTCATCTAAGGACCAACTATTATTGTTCTCTTTAGACTCGTTCATGCTCAACGTTTGCTGCATTCGATTTAGTAACCCTCCTTGGGGTTCTGATATTGTTATCTTCGTTGGAGTTGGATATGGAGCACCTATGGGTATTCTATTCGGGATGTAAATCTCTCTAGCAGACATTAAAAAACTATCTTCGATATTCCTTGAGCCGCTCAATAAAGGACTTCATTATTACTCTGCCTCAAGGGATAGATGTGTTCAGGGTCTCTTTATCAAGTCCCTCGTCAAGAAACTCTCGTATTGAGGCTTTCTACATAGAGACTTTCTCTCCGAGATCAAGATAGTTCAGCCATGTTGTGGGGACACAGTGTATGCAGTCAATCAAGAATCAAATTTATTCGATCCTGCCTTGGACTCATTTGGTTTATCTTTGAAGGCCAAAGTTATGTGGTCTCTAATCAAAGGATCAACAACATCTATTATTGATATCTGCCGGACATATTTGGCTTGGACGGTGCCTCATGATCGTCTCATTTATGACCCGATAATTGCTTATCGTACGCGGGATTCAATTATACTCATCCCTCGGATTTGATTGTGGTCATCCTCTTTTAGACTTGGATATTATTGTTTCTTTAGATAGGTATGAACCAACTATGGTTGCCTTATATAAGATTCGTCTTTCTCCAACGACATCTTATAATTATATTTGGGATTCTATTATTTGGCCCTTCAATGAGGCATCTCATTATTGCTCGGCGTAAAGGATTTCTTGTATGATATTCGGCCTGTGCGTGTATTATTATCTATGGTATTCGGCCTCCGTGCTTGCTTGATAGCATATAGTGGGTCTCGACATGTCTCTCCCAAGGCGTACATTACCAAAGAGGATGCGAATATTATCCCCGAAGACATGAATATTTCAAGTAGCTTCCATCTTCTTCCAAGGGCGACAAAAGAAAATGAAAGCTGGGGAACAATTGGCGGGACATTTTTTGTCAAATNTGCTTGCTTGATAGCATATAGTGGGTCTCGACATGTCTCTCCCAAGGTGTACATTACCAAAGAGGATGCGAATATTATCCCCGAAGACATGAATATTTCAAGTAGCTTCCATCTTCTTCCAAGGGCAACAAAAGAAAATGAAAGCTGGGGAGCAATTGGCGGGACATTTTTTGTCAAATGGGTCCACCAGCCCCACTCCCAATGAACAAATTAACATATATCATAAGTGGGACCCACTACAATAAATAATGGCAGGTAATAAGTGTTTTGGCAGTCTAGTCTATGCTTATTCTCCTGCATTGACGGCTGTACAGGCTATGGTAAGGAGCTTTTTAATCTTCTCTATATATATGGGTGAATGACCCAAGAAAAAAGGGGCCTCAAGTATGAGTGCCTCAGCTCCATACTCCACACACACATTTTACCATTTCCTTAATTTTATACACTAGCCTATTCATGTGTTGATCGCGATACTAACTTAGGCATCGGAGGGGCCTCCCCTGGCTCAACGTCGAGGGTCCTTCTAACCTCTTTCTATCTTGCAGCTCACGAATTGGATTATACTTGAAGACTAGGGGCGGTCCTCGAGATATTTCAAACTATTGTAGGATTTATCCCGTGCAATAATCATTACATTGAATTGGAGGTAGATTTCATTTACCATCAGAGTTCGCGNAACTTAGGCATCGGAGGGGCCTCCCCTGGCTCAACGTCGAGGGTCCTTCTAACCTCTTTCTATCTTGCAGCTCACGAATTAGATTATACTTGAAGACTAGGGGCGCTCCTCGAGATATCTCAAACTATTGCAGGATTTATCCCGTGCAATAATCATTACATTGAATTGGAGGTAGATTTCATTTACCATCAGAGTTCGTGACTAATCCAGAGACTACATTAAACTAAGTCACTGATTAGATCTCTTAAATTAGATTCCCATAGCATTCCTTTGTATGGAATATCTTCAATCAGTGCCGGATCTTCAATGGGGGCAGCGCTGGAATTTTAAAAAAGTTTGAGACCTAGGTAAAATTTTGAAAATTTCAAATTTTTTGAATTTTGCTCTCGTTGAAATTTTCATAAAATAAGGTTAGTTAGTGTAGTTTTGAAACCATTAAAACATAATTTTGACAGCCTTATTTTCCATGTCGTTCGTCTTCAACTCTTTGTTCGAATTTCAACTCTCGGTCTTTGTCTTTTTATTCGTATTTTTTACGAACGTTTTCATTTTTAGATAATTTTTTTTTTTGGGAGAGGAGGAAGGAAGGAGATTTGAACCCTTGACCCCAAGAAGACAAAACCTTCACAAGTTAAGGAGTACTATTAGACCAAAAACCCATTGGTNCAGCGCTGGAATTTTAAAAAAGTTTGAGACCTAGGTAAAATTTTGAAAATTTCAAAATTTTTTGAATCTTGCTCTCGTTGAAATTTTCATAAAATAAGGTTAGTTAGTGTAGTTTTGAAACCATTAAAACATAATTTTGACAGGCTTATTTTCCATGTCGTTCGTCTTCGACTCTTTGTTCAAATTTCAACTCTCGGTCTTTGTCTTTTTATTCGTATTTTTTACGAAGGTTTTCATTTTTAGATAATTTTTTTTTGGGAGAGGAGGAAGGAAGGAGATTTGAACCCTTGACCTCAAGAAGACAAAACCTTCACAAGTTAAGGAGTACTATTAGACCAAAGATCCATTGATTTTTTAGATAAATTTGAGAAACAACTCAAAATTCTAAATATGACCAACGAAATCGACACAGAATTAGAGGAGGTTTAGGGTTAGTGAAATTGAGTGATAAATAGGTGAATTTATTAGTCCCTTCAAATAAATAATTCGACCCTAATCCTGAATAAATGCCACACGAACTTGGTAAACATATGTTGTACATGATACGTTATAAACATCATTTCTTTTGAATTTTTCTCTCTTGGGTATCCAAGTTATTTTTTTATCTCTTTTTTGTCCTCCCTCTCTTCTCCCTTCTTTACTTCATTTTCAGATTCAATCAACGTTTATCTAGTCAATTGAATGAATAGTTTTAATGAAAATGGGATATTAGGAGTTTTTATCGAAGCAATTGCACANCACGAACTTGGTAAACATATGTTGTACATGATACGTTATAAACATCATTTCTTTTGAATTTTTCTCTCTTGGGTATCCAAGTTATTTTTTTATCTCTTTTTTGTCCTCCCTCTCTTCTCCCTTCTTTACTTCATTTTCAGATTCAATCGACGTTTATCTAGTCAATTGAATGAATAGTTTTAATGAAAATGGGATATTAGGAGTTTTTATCGAAGCAGTTGCAAANTCCCTCTCTTCTCCCTTCTTTACTTCATTTTCAGATTCAATCAACGTTTATCTAGTCAATTGAATGAATAGTTTTAATGAAAATGGGATATTAGGAGTTTTTATCGAAGCAATTGCAAAAGATTATGCATAAACTATTTCTTTGATTTATTATTACACAGTTAACAGGCCTTTGGTTATTGTTGCTCATTCTTTTTTGCTATAACAGATAATAAAGTTTTGATTATTGAATTTGAATTAAAAGATGATTTGATTGGTTGTATATCAATTAGTACACATTCATACCCAAATGACTAATGTTCTGTTTTGTATGATGAAAAAAAAAAAGGATGAAAATGTGGAATGATGAAAAGTTGGAGGGATAGATAAAATATCATATTCGGTAAGGTTGGAAAAATAGATGGATGAGCTTTCTTTCCAACTCATCAAAATCAATCCTTCCAAAATTGAAAAGAAAGTGCCCCCGATATGTGTATATGGTTTGCGCATTTTGAAAATATAATGGTGGCACCAACCATGTGTGTAAAGTTGTCGCATTCATGAATCTACTCTAATTTAAGTTATGTTAACGTCTCTAACAAATAATCACCCTGCTTCTCTAGTCATGACTACTGAAATATATATCCATTACAATTCCACTACTAAGTTAAGCTGCTTTCTTTCTCAATAAATCAATGCCAGAAAGCCCAAAGCTTCCAATTCAACAAGCATTTACAAACACCCAAATGAATAAAACATCTTTCTGGTTTGTTGCTCACATAAACACTAGTTTCTTGTTGTGTTTGGTTTTAGGGTTTCCTCAGATTGGCAATTCTGTGCGTCATGGGAATGTAACGGACCGGCTAGCATTGATTGCGTTTAAGGCCACAATAGCTAATGATCCTTTAGGAGCTATGAGCTCATGGAACGAATCCATCCATTTTTGCCAATGGTATGGAGTGACATGTGGCCACCGCCACCAAAGGGTCATTAAATTGGACCTAAGTCATCAAACGCTGTCTGGGATTATGTCTCCCCACATTGGAAATTTGAGCTTTCTCAGAATACTGGTTCTGCGTAACAACAGCTTTCGTGGTGAAATCCCTCCAGAACTTGGTCATTTGCGAAGACTAGAACGTTTATATCTTCACAGGAATTCATTTAGGGGTGAAATTCCTGCCAGCATATCTCGTTACTCTAACCTCAAAACTTTTGCCGCTTATTTCAATAAGTTGGTAGGGAAGATCCCTATGGAGCTTGGCTCTCTGTCTAAATTGCAATTGTTGGCCGTTAACAAAAACAATCTGACAGGTATAATCCCTCCTTCTTTTGGGAACTTGTCATCTCTTGTGCAACTTTTTTTGTATTCTAACAATCTTGTTGGGGGTATCCCTAAAGAACTTGGACAAGTCACTAAACTGGAAATAGTTGCAGTTGTTGCAGGTATGATTTTGAGGGTCCATTACCTAAAGAAGGCATCTTTGAGAATGCAAGTGCAACTTCAGTGAGTGGAAACTCTAAACTTTGTGGGGGTATACCAGAATTTCAGCTTCCAAAATGCAAATCTAGACGTTCTAAGAACATCTTCTTGACTTTTACCTTTAAACTTGTAATCTCTATAGTTTCTGGGCTGCTAGGACTAACTCTTGCCCTGGGTTTTCTATTCATCTCTCGGTTTAGAAAAACCAACAAAAAATCTTCATCAGATTTAATAGGAAACTCACTCTTGAAAGTGTCTTATCAAAGTCTCCTTCAAGCGACTAATGGGTTCTCTACAACCAATTTGATTGGTATGGGTAGCTTCGGGTCTGTGTATAAAGGAATTCTTGATCCTGATGGAACAATTATTGCTGTGAAGGTACTTAACCTATCACATCATGGAGCTTCCAAGAGTTTCATAGCAGAGTGTGAGACGTTGAGGAGTATTAGACATCGAAATCTTGTGAAGGTGTTAACTGCATGTTCGGGCATTGATTATCGGGGCAATGATTTTAAAGCTCTGGTTTATGAATTCATGGAAAATGGCAGTCTAGAGGGGTATCTACATCCTAATCAGATTGAAGATTTGGAAGTTAAACCTTCTTCAGAGAGTAAACATTGGCATTGATGTTGCTTGTGCACTGGATTATCTTCACCATGGTATCCCCGAACCAATAGTTCATCGTGATATAAACAAGGGCGGAGCCAGGATATTTGTTTATCCCGGGCTAAACTAAGCATTTATATGACTAATAAAATACAAATGTAAACTCATAAATACTTACTAATGAAATTGGATTCTTCGATCCTTCCTAGAACAAAAAGCATCTATTATGAAATCTGTACCGATTATTTTCNTGTGCACTGGATTATCTTCACCATGGTATCCCCGAACCAATAGTTCATCGTGATATAAACAAGGGCGGAGCCAGGATATTTGTTTATCCCGGGCTAAACTAAGCATTTATATGACTAATAAAATACAAATGTAAACTCATAAATACTTACTAATGAAATTGGATTCTTCGATCCTTCCTAAAACAAAAAGCATCTATTATGAAATCTGTATCGATTATTTTCGTTATTTCTCTTTCAATGTAGTCAACTAACGAATCAGTCAAATACTCATCTTCCATCTTGTTACAAAAGTACTTTTGACATGTTTCATGGCTGAAAATGTTCTTTCTGAAGTTGCTGTAGAAACAGAANAAAGAGTACTTTTGACATGTTTCATGGCTGAAAATGTTCTTTCTGAAGTTGCTGTAGAAACAGAAAGAGTTAAAATAAAACGAATCAACCTATCAATCAAATTGTAGGATTCTACCTTATTTGTTTCTACTAAACCACGACATAATTTTGAAATTGTAGACATATTTTGAAATCACTCATGGCGAACCACATCAAATTGATAATGATCCAGTTGACATTTCAAATGATGCATGTCTTGTCTATCAAAATCAGCTGCATAAAACTTCTGAGCAAGTAAACAAATGCGATCAGGATTGAAAGATTCAAAGTTGTCCCGCGGATTTAAAGCAAAGCTGAGCATAAGCAATTCCATTGTCTCTTCATTGAATCTACTATGTAACTCTTCTAATTGATGATCAATCGTAGCATTAAATAAGTCCATGTGATAGTGATGATCAACTGTAATGTTATCATACTGTTGACATGAACGTCTTGCACCTTTGTACTGAGTGCTCATATCAGGTATATTGACATCAAATTTCATGCAAACTGTTTTCACATGGCCAAGGAGATAATCAAAATCTTCTGCTCGCAAGGTTTGAAGCAATGATTTTGTCGATGAGACTAAATTCATTGCATTCAAAATATTTAATGATTTATGCTGCAATACCCGACAAAGCATATCCGTAATCCCCATAATCTTGGGCATAAGATGCAATATGAATATGAAATCGAAGGACTTCATTGCCATTAAAGAACCATCAGCTTCCCCACGAATTGTATTTGAAGATCCTTCGTTAACCATACATTCAAACACACTAATGATAGCATCATACATATCTATCAGACCGCAAATGGATTCAAAATGTGAGCTCCAACGAGTAGTACCAGCTCGATGCAAAGTACCCATCTAATTAGCCCCTTTACCAGTTTCTCGTTCACCACAAGCTATCCCCCTTTCAATCTCAGTAGCTTGGGAGATCGCAGTTCTGTATGACGCTTAGGAGAAACACTAATAAGATTGAAAATGCATGTCAATTTGGAAAAGAATTTGTCATATTGAAATCGCATCTTCAGCAGTTGTAACTAATGCAAGTTGTAAACGATGAGCAAAGCAATGAACACAGTATGCATACTCACAATCATTACGAAACAAAGCTTGTAATCCATTAAATACACCACGCATGTTGCTAGCACCATCATATCCCTGACCTCGTAAATCTCAAATTTGCAAATTGTGACGAGTAAGAACTTTTGATATTTTCTTCTTAAGAGTTAAAGAAGTGGTATCTTTAACATGCACAATCTCAAAAAATCTCTTCTGTAAAAAACCCTGAACATCAACAAATCTCAGAACAATTGACATCTGTTCTTTATTTGATGCATCCTTTGCTTCATCAATCAAAATACAAAACTTGGCATTTCCAACTTCTTCACGGATTTTTTCTCTTACTTTAGTAGCTAGAATATGCAAAATATCTTTTTGGATCATAGGAGACGTATACTTTGCATTTCCTGGAACTTTCTCTAAGACAACATCATTTATCTCAACATTCAACTTTGCCATCAAACTAATCATCTCAATTAGATTACCACGCTTCTTTGACATTACAGTTTCATCACGACCTTTCAAGTCACATCCCTGTAAAGTAAGTCATCGAACACTATCAATGGTAGCCTTAAGATGTAATCGATTTCTCTTTATTTCTTCTAAACTTTGAATATTCATAACTTTATCAATGTGCACTAATATATTCTTCAACACCTCAACATTTCTCACAACATTATTGTGTGTGGAAGCAGGACCTCCTCCCATATGTGACAAGAAAATACATTTGGCCTCATTATTCACTCTCTTCCAGCTACTAAAACCATCAACGGTAAATGCAGGATGTAGAGGTTCATGACCTTGAAAAATAAAGCACGAAAATCAAAATGCCGCATCTTTTGAAACAGAATACTCTAGCCATGGAAATTTTTTGTACCAACTTTCCTGAAATCTTCGATTTTGAACTCCAATTTTAGTCCTCGGATACTCAGCCAAGATAGGTTGATTTGGTCCCCACTTTATATATGCACATCTAACGTCATCTTGATTATAAGCAGGATGTTTCCATATCGGAATACGCAATGCGGGATCTCGTTCAAGTTTATTCTCATCAAAAGGAATTCTTAAAATTTTTGTTTGAGGTTGAAGACCTTGAGGTTCAACAGCTGCAGGAATCATAGGAACATCAACACTTGTTGATGTTTCTACTAGACTCAAAGGTTCAAGACTAGAATTTGATGTTGATTCCCTACTTTTCTTTTTGAAGAACGAAAAATTTATTTTTGCTCTTTTTCGTTCTTGATTTTTCATTCTAATAAAGTAGAGAAGGGTTGAAAATTAAAGACGTATACTAGAGAAACAAATTAACAAGAATCACCTAGCCCCAAAAATCTACAAGAGACATATAGATATTGCTAGGCCTCACACATTTCATTACCAAATCTAATTTTATGTTCCTCTGCCCCAAAAATCTATTTTTGTGTTACACAATCATTGGATAGAGAAAGCAAGAAATTAAACATACATATGAACACAAACAATGGAGAAATATACATATTAAACATACATATGAACACAAACAAATGAACAATGGATATTTCTCGAGTTAGCTTTTTACCGTTCTCCCAGCAATTGAAGAGTCAATCAGAGGTGAATGTTGCTTATGAGACTGACAAGTTTCTTTACCAAGCATATGGTTAGTTTCACCACTTCCCCTTACCTGAGCACGTTGTGTCTTGAACAAACCAACTACAACACCATAAATTCAATCAAATAAACAATCTTTAGCACTAAGTGGGTTTCATAGCTAAATTGAGGATACAAGAGAGTAACCAGAGGCCCAGCACTACCTATTGCTGTGGGACAATATTTTATGATGGTCAATTAAGTACATATTTCACACTTATGATATAATCACCTTAATTTTTATGTCATTTCAGAAAAATTGAATAATAAAGCATCTTTATTTCAAGAAATGAAGAATAATATGATTGGTACTTGTCTACAGGCAGTCTAGGACTAAATATACTTTGACCTCTTTTAGGTTTTTAAAATTTTACAGTTTATTACCCTTCATATAGCTTTATTTTAGGTGGGCATCAAAAATAAAATCTTTAACTCCCTGATTCTACCACATCAAAAAGAAAAAGAACCAAGTGTAATCAATATCAAGAATCAAAGACTCACTCACAATGCAACAATAAAAACCCATAAATCACATATAGAAGACTGCACAAGAATGAAAATCCAATTATTAGAAGAACCAAAACTGAACATATAAGTTCAAAACTTGTAGATTGAACTCGGGTGAGAGTCTAATCTTCTTAGACACAACTTCTTCAGAGCTCTGATAACAAACAAGGGCGGAGCCACATCAAAAAGAACAAAGCTTATTGAAGAAAAAACAACTTATTGAACAAATCCCCTAATTAGCACTAAGTGGGATTTGTTCTTTTTGATGTGGCTCTGCGGATTGAACAGGGGATTTGTTAAAGGGGATTTGTTCAAAAAGAACTAAGTGACAAAGCATATCCGCAACCGTAATCGGTAATCCCACTTAGTGACAAAGCTTTGTTCGGCACATCACAAACAATGGATATGGAAAACAAGAAATCTAAAGCAGAGAAAATCAATACCTATATGTGATTCAAGAAGCCCACAAACAAGAAATCTGTAGTCGTTGTAGTTGTAGTTGTAGTTGCAGAGAAATCTGAAGCACCGTGGTCCGTCAACCAGAGAAAAAAACAAACCTGTGTGTGATTCAAGAAGCCCGCAAACCAGGGTGTTTGCACAGAGGGACTCACCGCCTGCCATGGAGCCGTTGCTTCTCCGAAGATTCGGGGAAGTGATTCGCCTGAGATTGAGAGAGAAGAGACAGGACATGGGGGAAGTGACTGAGAGAGACCGATTGGAGAAGCTTTGCAGTGGGCTAGGTTGGGTTAGTTATGTTGGATGGAATTTTTTTTTGGGAGAGGGTTGGGCTGGTACTTAAGGGTAAATTTTTTATTTTTTTTTTACCCTGGGCTTCAGCCCACCAATAAATCCATCCTTGGATATAAAGCCAAGCAATGTTCTTCTAGACAGGGAGTTGGTTAGCCATGTATGTGATTTTGGTATAGCAAGATTCCTTCTAACACCCACCACCCAAAATGTGTCAATAAGTTCAACAAGTTCTACTGGTGCAAGAGGATCGACTGGTTATGCTGCTCCAGGTAATAAATAATTTTTACTTTACAATGTTGTCTAATTCATTCTTTTTTGTTATTTTTCTTCTCTTTCATATATATATATACTAGTTATTGTCTGTGCCTAAAGGCAATAGAGTAATAAAAAATGATAAACAATAAACATATTTATATTTATATCCAAAATCAAATCACAAATATAGAAAA